GATGAATTTTGAAAAAAATAGTTGAATTTCATACAGACAAAATCTTATTGGTATTGAAATATTTTAAGTATACACGTAATGAAAATTTCTATTGATATTCAATGCGTGAATATGTACAGTCAACTACCGTGCGCATTCACTATTAAACTGGTGAATGCTGAGATGTGAACTAACATAAAGAATTAAAATTTTCTAACTAATACATAACAATAATTTTTCTCAAGTTGATATTGCTCTAATTCTTGAAAGAAAGTCTATGGAAAATGTAGACTGATAATTGAAGATCTTTGTTTATTACTTAGACACGTTTCTTTTCAATATCAGTCATACCTCAAAATGCATGTAGACGCAGCCTATATCATCAACGAATGATAAATCTTATTCAATTAACTATTCATATTTTATTATTAGTTTAATTTTTTCTGAATATTTTATGAGAAAAATTAGCCGTTGTTCTTTTTTATTTCATCTAAATTTTTGTTTAACAAAGAAAAAAAAACAAAAAGATAACATCGATAAAACAGAACGTTCGATTCTTGTTTAAAAATAATCGTTACATGAGCATTTTCCATTGGTATAGAAATGATGAAGTCTGTTAGCATCACGAACGATTATTTCACATTGACGAATAGCAGCGATTAATTTTGTTGATCGATCTATGTAACAAAAAAGAAACAAATTTCATTAAAAAATAAAAAATTGAGATGGATACATACGACAATCTCCACAAACACGGAGATTTTTCGTCATATGAATTCGCTTTGTATTTGGATTTGCAACAAAATTCCATGCAATCGCAAGTCTTTCACTATGTCCACAAAGTACTGATTCAACAGTTTCGTCTTCATGCAATGGTCGTGTTATCCAGCTTGAATCGTATTGATGACCATATTCAATAAGTTCTTTTGATATTTTCTCACCTTCAGCATAAATTTCTTTAGATCTAGGATGAGATTGATCATGTGCTCGAAATCGCTAAGAAAATAAAATCTAGCAGTTTTATAGAAGAAAAATCTTATTATATACTTACGAATATTTGATCATCAACAACGGTCCATGTGATACCAATTTTTCTCTTAGAACCTGATTTATTTATTTTAATTCTAATATCTGATGCTTTATCAATATCACCTGACGATGCGTAAACATTAGAAAGAAGCACTGCAGCTGATATTAATGGATTTTTTCTATCAGGAAAAAGTTCTTTCATTCGATCGTAAGTATTTTGTGATAAATGTATATTCTTTTCATTTCGAGCACCTGATAATAATGCCACTGAAATAAAAACAATCAATATTAAGATTTATTTATTATTAAAATAATCTTTCATATTCTTCGAGAACAAAAAAAAAACATTTATTTGTTTTTTTGAATTTATATTTTTATTTTGTCGAAAAATAAAATTGCTTGATTAGTTTTTAATAATATTTATCTAATTATTAGATTTCTATTCGTTTGGAATGTCAAAATTAGAGAACAAATGTTGCCATACAGATTTGATTTTATCGAGACGAATAGCAACACGATAAAATCTTCGATAGATTCTAAGGCATGATTAAAATTCATTGATTTTTTTATACAAATTTTTATGACTTTCAACTAATCTGAATTTAACACAATTTTCTAATATCAATATTCTTAGTAAAATTGACTTTTAACTGAACGACGAACAATTTATTTCAAAATGAACATTTTCTGTCGATGTGTTATTGATCAAATGAATTAATGCATCATCTATATATATATATAGAAAAGATATTTTTAAAAAGCCTAGAATCTTATTTTATCTTAATATCATTTTCATATGTATCAAATACAATAAAAAACAAAAATCTATAGTTAACATATGAGTATTGTTTTTTTAAAACGTAATCATTCAGTAAAACTTTTTGATCACGTGCAAACAAGCTTTTGTATAACAAAAAACAAAAACGTGCGACTCGCTTCTTTACAATAAAAAAGATTTTCTTTATTAAAAATATATTTAACGGATAGGCCTTTTTAAATGTTCGAAGAAAGCTTCGAAAATTCAACTGACTCATAAATAAAAAGATGAAAAGTTTTCACTTCGAAGAGTATCCACTATAGAAACAACTCATTCGTTTTATTACACACCAAACTTTAGTTCAGGATCCAAAAAACATTTTTCTTGTAATTCTGATCTTGACACTCGTTCGATGGCTGGTATGAAGATTACGATTGGCATTGACTCGACACATTTCGAATAGAGATGTGCAGAACGAGAAAAAACCTTGACCTCGTTTATGTCTATCAAAGGCATACTTGATTTACTATGATAAAGAGCGAGACCGCTCAAAAAAAAAAAACTTGTCAGAATCCGGATCAAAGTAACTGTGATCGTGCATATGTCTAATATGGATACATCATATAGTTCTCTTTCCATATCACAAGATACTAGTACGACAATAATAAAATGATCTATGATAGAGGAAAAATGTCACTATCAAAATGACAGAGTTGAGAATGTCGTATAATCTTCAATTCGAGTTCAGATCTCGATTTAACGTTAAGTTATCTTTTTTGTATCATTCTATGTAGTTCAGATATATTTCAAAAACAATTTAATGTTAAATGATGGATCTTTAAAAATATCGAAAACTCTAGGAAAAAATGCGGAAACTTCGGATTTAAATCCGAGAGTTATGTGTACTTCAAAAAGTGAATCATACAAATCAATCATCCTAGACTGTCTGAATATCAAAATTATACTGTGAAATCTACCATTTAAAATGTTGATTTCTATTACGCGTTGCCAAACCAATAGGACATGGGCCAAATACAGCTCAAGTTTGAACTCTTTCCCTTGATTTACCCTAAGAAAGTCGTTTTTCCTATAACTTCATTTCTATTGGTCACTGCACAACTAATAGTATTTCGATAGAAGTGCAGTACACATTCGAGTTCTCCATATCTGAAAATCTCGAAGTATCATCAGTGTGATCGGAAGCTAGAGCTCGATTTGTGGATCAATTAAATCGTGGACCAAAATATAACCTAGTTCTCTTTAATTATCCTTGTCATAGGTGAGTCAACCTTCTTGTTTCTCTATGCTTTATATATGATTTTGTAGCTCTTGAAATTCTCTATCGAATGGTATATAATAATTGGGGTTTTATTTGACTATGATAGGAAAAGTCTTTTACGAAAGCGGCGATGGGTCGATTTTTCCACAGAAAGCTATAGAGAAAAATGGGTATTTTTGAAATAACTCAGGAACGACTCGGCCGATCCTTCTCATCTTCGAACTCGACGGAGATATTGTCAATACTAAGCTGTGTAGAAAGTTTCATCGCAATCTGACTCTGCTGTCAAAAGTTATCATGTAAACAGCCAACCGGACGGACGGACACACTGACTATTCTATAGTGTACTCACTTTTTGAGTAGACAAAACTATGATTCGGTTCAAAACTAATATCAGATTCAGAATCAGCGTTAAAAACTGAGTCGATTTATGTATTTTGTGAATAATTATGAGCAAAAAATTTTTTTCGAAAAATCCCCGTACCCCCCCTCAGGGATGGTCTCGTCAAAAATCACAATTTTTTCGATAACTCAGTCATTTCTTGACGGATCCTTCTCATCTTCGAACTCGACCGAGATATTGTCAAGACTGATCTGTGTAGAAAATTTCATCGCGATCTGACTCTCCTTTCAAAAGTTATCGAATAAACGGACGGCCGGACGGCCGGACACACTGACCGATTTTAGTAGTGTACTCACTTTTTGAGTACACAAAAAGAACCATTTTTAGAATCTCTTTAATGAAAACTTCAACAAAGTCAATATAGAACTATTCTTGAAGAATTCATTTTTAAATAATTTTTTCATCTACATCATTATTTCTATATCAACTGTATCAACCATATAGGATAGCGTCGCTTCCAAATTGCGAACAAAAATTAAGCCAATTAAGAAAAAAGCGTTCGTAATTTGAAACACAAAAATAACGTTGATCTTATTTTTATTGCGTTTCCAAATTGCGAACACTTTGATTAATTAGTTATTGCAATTGCTGAGTATGAGTTCAATTTTATTAATAATATAAATATAGAAGTTTGAGAATAAGAATGGTATCATTTCTTTTTATTTGACAAGTCAACACGAATTTATCATTTGAATATATAATAATAAATGAGAATAATGATCAACGAAAATAAATAATAATATAATAATTTTTTTTTCATTGTTATTATTGTATTTTCTAACAAATAATGAAAATATTTAAAAAAAGGAAAAAAATTATGATATTATTTTTTATTTTCGTTCATCATTATTCTCATTTATTATTATATATTGAAATGACAAATTCGTATTGACTTGTCAAATAAAAAGAATTAAAACTATATTACTTTATTATAAAAAGTGTTCGCAATTTGGAAACGCAATAAAAATAAGATCAACGTTATTTTCTGTGTTCCAAATTGCGAACACATTTTTCTTAATTGGCTTAATTTTTGTTCGCCATTTGGACATAGCCTAGGATAGACGTCATACATCTAGTTTTAGTGATTTTTAAGGATAAAATAGATCGATTCTCTTTGTATTAGCTCACATTTTTTATAAATACAATAAAATATTCTTATATTTTAGATTTGACTATGATTTGAATTGACCTTTCACTTGTCATAACTACATCGAAAAAGAAAACAAAACAACATTTTTTTTTCACCAATGTCCTATGTTGTAGAATAGTATAACCGTCTCATGGATTCACTATTTCGATATTTTACTGATTAATTGAAAGTCTTCGAACACATATTGTGTTTACGTAATTTATTCCTTATTGTAAAATATACATTTAGATATCGAATTAATTCAATATGCGATGGAAGACATTCTTCTCATTTATTAAACAGAAGAAACTTATTTTTGAAATAAATAAATAATGACAACTAGTAAATAGATTGCAGATTTGATCTGAATTCTTGCTGAATGAAAGCATCGATTTTGTTGAAAATATTTGAAAGGATACTAACTGTACATCGATAATACGGATGGATGATAACGTTCATATGTATAAATCAATTGCTGAGCTTCTTCGAAAAAAGATGCACGACTAAGACAATCAATCTAAACGATAACGATTAATAAAATTTAAGAGAAAGAATAAATTTTTTTTCGTCTCTACCATTGCACCATAAATACTTTCTGATTTATTTTGAATATTTTGAAAAATAAAACGAGCTCGATCAACAAGTCCACTATGTGAACATGCATTTAAGATACAAATATTTGTTATTTCATCAATAAAATCTTGTGGCATTTGATAATAAAGTGTAACTGCTTCAGTACCCATTCCGTTCAAACCATAAGAATTTACTAATAATAAAAAAATTATTTAAAATTTTATTCAAAATAAAAATAAATTTAAAACATACTCATTGCTGTATATGCAAATTTATCAGGTGAAGGAATTTTTGAAAAAATTTCTCTTGCTTCCTCCACATATCCATTTTTTCCCTAAATTGAAATTTATTAAGATAAATACATTAAAATAAAATTTCTTTACAACTAACCCACATATCAATTAATGCCGCTTTTATTTGATTATCAACAACAAAAGAATACGGAATTTGTTTAATAATTGATTCAGACATTGAATAATCACCAATATATGCTAAAGCTTTAATAATACATAGATAAATAATAATATTTGCTTCGATATTATCTTTTTTCATTTTATAAAATAAATCTAATGTTTTCTCGGGATTATTCTCTTGATTAAAACCAGTCATTAAATTTCCATAATTTTCTACAGTTTTTTTCATTTTTGAAAAAAGAATCTCTCCAGTTGAACTATCACCACATTTTATAAATCCATCTAATAAAGCATTTAAAAGTCGATGATTTGAATAATAAGATTTTGGCATAGTTTTTGAAATTTTTTTTAATAAATCTAATGCTTGTTGTGTTTTTAAATGAGCACATGCATTAAAAAAAACAATTAGATTTACTTCACTGGGATTTTTTATTTCTTTAAAAAGATTAATAACTTCTTCGAGTTGATTATGTATTATATAACCTGAAGAATAATATATATGGTTACAAAAAATTAAAAGAAAAAAAAAATTCTCACCTTTCATCATTGCTCCATACATTGGCAAGTCTTTTTCTTTTGATTTATCAAATACGGATTGAGCATATTTTATATCACCACATTTCATTAATGCATCCAAGAAAGAAGATAATATATAAGGATTTGAATGAAAAGATTTTGACATTCTTTTTGAAGTTTCCTTTGCTAAATCTAATGCTTCATTTGTTTTTAATTCAGCACATGCATTAAATAACAAATTTAAAATAATTTCATTAGGATTTTCAATCTTATTGAAAATATCAATAGCTTTGTTGGACATATTATTTTTAATATAACCTTTAATGAAAAATCATTTAAGATACTTTTCGAAAT